GGAAGCCTCACGGCCTGATTTCGATTTCCCGCCCGTAAGCTCATTTTAATTGTGTTATTTTGCAGGCATTTTTTGTTAAATGCGCACAAATATGGAAAGACGAAGGCGTACAAGAATGCTATGAGCGCTCAAATGAATACCAACTGATCGACTGCGCCAAATAGTGAGCTGCGATAAAAATGTAATGCTTTTAGTTTCTTGGAGCGAACAGCAGAACTGGGCAAACCGGATTACATACCTACTGAGCAAGACATTCTCCGATGTCGTGTTCTCACGTCAGGCATCTTTGAAACCAAGTTTACGGTCGACAAAGTCCAATTCCACATGTTCGATGTCGGTGGCCAAAGAGAAGAACGGCGAAAGTGGATCCAATGCTTTAATGACGTGACTGCAATCATTTTTGTGGCCGCTTGTTCCTCCTACAACATGGTTCTTCGGGAAGACCCTAACCAAAACAGAGTCCGGGAGTCGCTTGAACTTTTGGGCTCTATTTGGAACAATAGGTCAGATATAGTTGAATTTTATTATTTCATAATGTCTGCCGCGTTTTATCGTTTGAATTTTTCATTCGAACATTTAGCTGTTATTTTTCTTCACATACTATCTCCTATTTCCTATTTATTCACAAAAACATACAGCCGTGGGCCGCTTTGTAAGGAGTATTAAGTTTTTGCCTTGTTGACGTCACTGAATTGTGATTGATGAATCGCAAGTTCGCCCTTATTGTTCCTCAAGAATTTCGAGTGCACAGTACAGAATTCACAGATTTCCAGTTTGCGATATAAAGCGACTTGTCCGCTCCTAACTTCTCATGCACCATCAAGTTATTGACCTGCTACTTGCGAAATCCAGTTGTAATCCGAGTTGTTGGTATCGGCTTTCATTGGGCCGGGTCCGAATGTGTCCCGAGCGTTTTCTCATCCAGGGGCTGGCTTCAGAATGTCTACTATTTCGAAAGTAAAAATTTCGTTAGCAACTTAATCTATAAATTGCTTGAACCCTATGAAATTTGGTCGACGTACCCGGTCAATGAAAGCATAAGAAGTTCAGGCAAAGTTCGTGGCAGTTCGTTTATTTCAAATATCTACTTTGCGGCAACGGATATGTGGTCTTCTCAGAAGTTCATTTATCGATTCGATGTGTCGTTCGGGTCTTAAAACGTTTCATGTATTATGTAATCTTTCATTTACTACCAACAGTTGTATGGGCCCTTGGTGACTTGCATATATGTTTTGAGCACGATTTCTGGAATCATTAGCAAGATTGTTTTAGCAAACGCTAGCTGCTGAGGTATATTGCTCCGATTTGTGATATTTTTATATGCCGCCATCTGACTTACGACACAGCCGCTCCGTGGAATAATTCCAACTACAAGTAAACGTAAACACTGAACTTTTTACCTACGTCGACGCTCCACAAGCCTTATCTACGTGTATCTGGAACGACGTTTTTCGAAGGTTAGCTGCGACTTAAGTAGACTCTCGGGTCTAAAGAATAAGCAGTCGCGGACCAGCAGTGACAGTGCTACCAGGGTGCGACGAGCAGAAGTCTGGCACGCCAAATGCCTATAAAAGCCTTTCGACGGTATTGTGATATGGCGACCTTGAACCGCCATTAAATAAGTTCGCTTGCCACCGCTGCCTTGTGGTAAGGTCCTTGAGCTAAAGGAGAAGAGACAACCTGGAGCAAACAATCTGAATTTCATGCAATGGTCCGTGATATGGGAACCGACTCTATTCGCAATCCCGGTCCAGCGGTGCTGTTTTAATCAATCCACAATGGACTCTTGGTTGTGGATGCTCCAATGTTCGAAAATTCCTACACTTTCCTACCCAAAGTCTGACGGCGCACAGCGTTCATCGGTACAATGTGGATGCCCTCTGCCCGTCCGAAGTATGAACTACAGACTCAGGCGCTGCGAGGATAAAAATCTCCAAGTTAATTCTCACTTAATCTTCGAGCATACCTGCCCACACGCGTCTTCTAATACATGATGTAGCGATCCCCCCCCCCGGAACAAGCAAACCGTGCACTTCTTGTGTAGGAACCAGTAAATGACCGGATGACTTACCTACGACTGAAGGGCCACTTTATGAACTCATCCACGTCAGCCGCCGACCAGCGAGATAAAAAAATCCTACTTACAGCAGCAAGAGTTAGTTAAGAGGTTTCCTTGCCGTGATCTCCTGATTTTTACCGGAGACTGGAATGCTCGGACTGGACCCGTCCTCTCCTCAGTCACCTTATTGGCCGTTTTAGGCTGGGCTCTTAAATGCGCGATGATAAGGGAGTGCTGAAATTTTCTTAACACGAACGACTGTTTCTCACCGACATGCCCTTTTAGTATCATCAGAAACATCTGCTGACCTGTTATTCAAGCGACGACTACACAGTCACTCAGATCGGCTGGATCTTGATCAGTTCAAAGTTCCGCACTTGGGTTCATAACTGTAAGCTGATGCATGGTGCTGAAACTGATAGCGCCCACATCGTTCGAACATGCCTGAAAATGTTACCTCGAATTTGTACCCAAATTGTCATACGTAAGACATCTTGGTGTCTCAACCTCACGACAAAACATCACTGCCAAGGGTCCGAGCACATAAATTTTATCCTCCTTCACGACTCGAGTTGACAAAGAAGAAGGTAGTACTCAGCGGTCATTTGAGCAGTGGTGTATTTAACCGCTGTCGCCCGAGAACCATCCTTCAAGTGAAGTACACTGACTTCCTTTCGAATAAGATGGCCCACACTCGCCACGGCAACATCGGGAAGATATCGCAGGCCATTCAAGAAAGACGGGAGACAGTTTGGGTCTGTTCTTTGTTTTCTGCCTCATGAACTTGGTGTTTCGTCCTCGATTCCGCGTCATTGCCCATCTGAGACTTGTACTTGTTACGGCTGTGATCATGCCTGATCTAGTCGGCCTCAATGAT